CATGGCATATTATCCGGTTCTTGTTTAATTTCAAATCTTATATTTTTTAATGTATTTGAAACATTAAATACAGTGGTAATTATCGCCTATTTAATTTATAACATAGGCACGATGCAGGCAAAAGGGGGGGGGGCTCATCCCTTGGTGTTGGAGAATGCATATTACAAACAAGAGAACTGGCATAATCGATGTGTATAATGATCGATCATTTTGACTGGAGACGTCAATTAAAATAGCTTATATGAATTTGTATTCCATGTCTGGTCAAGATACTTGGATGGTGATATTGACTATAACGTAACAGCATGATGAGACAATACACTTTGGTAGCGGTGGTCATTGGAGTCACCTTGTTGGCAACCTCATCCAAGGCGAATATACACAAAGTAAAGTATTCATTTGTTTGTTAATACTACTTTAGATAAAGGAAATTAGATTTTTCAATGAGAGCAACATCTACCGCTTCTTTGAAATTGTATCTATGTCTTAAAATTCATCAACCAAATATTTTTGATCATGTTTTAGAATGTACTTGACGCAGTAAGTTTATTTCCACTTAAATCGATTTCATTTTGTGTCTACATGCCTGGAGTTAGTTCTTATTTCATTTTGAGTAACAAATATAACTCAGGGATTGTACTTTCGCCGTGGTTATATATTCATGAGTCTCTCGTGTGCTTTTTTTATTTGGGGGCGTATTATGGAACTATAAATTACAACAGCTTAGTATTGTTTGAAGTCTGATAAATGCCGTGGTCGCAAATGTTTCTTTTGTATTGTCGCATTAAAAAATAAGATAATCAGCGAAAGTTTAATATTTATTCTCAAATTTTGGAGTTGATTGGGTGACATTGGGTAACATTGGTTACATTATTGAAAATGAAAGGAAATTACACATTTAGCCTTACCATAATTGCCCGAATTGAAATCTAAGAATTATTTTTCAAAAAGATTCATGGTAAACCATGTATCTTTGGAAGTAAAAATAACAACCTGTCCAATTTTCACACATGATCAACGACTTTAATGCAGGAATCGATTCCACGATAGTGTAAAAATTATGATTTGAAAATAACCGGAATGTAGATTTGCAAACTAATTGTAAATTGTTATTACTCACATGCCATCTGAATAATCATCGTGTTCGTAATATTTTAATTAATGATTTGTCATTTATATTAAAAAAAGGTTAGAGAGTACTTCCTATTACAACTTGCAGACGAGACAATGATAATCCCGATCTTGTGAATTGCAGCTTTACAAATCGGAAGTTCTTATCCGGGTACTGTAGGCCGTCACACTATGACGTCATATGTTTACAGTTTTTGCCAACCAGCGAATGCCTGACACCAAATGTTGCTCACTGGTCGGAACCAGCTCACGTTAATCATGTAGATTCATCGTTTAATGAAACATCAAACGGCACTCGTAGCAGGACACGTTAATCTTCTAGCTGAATAAAAGACAGATAACAATTGTCACACTTAGGTTTATTATTAATATGGCCGCCGTAAATGTAATATCTGGCTACTCACCTGTTTACGACAATACCCAGTGAACTCGGTTAGTAGACAAATTTAGTGAACAAACAAACAAACGTTTTTTCCTCCTCCTCTTGTGTGTTTGTAGTTCCGTGGTTATACCAAACATCAAACAATTCGATGTGTGTACTGAACTGACACCACAATTTCTCAGTCCCTATATTTATGAAATTGTGGGTGTAACTTGTGCATTTGACTGGAATATGGCTTCTAAAATATTACCTAGTTTTTCGAAAGTATAGTCAGTAGCCAACACAAACTACTAACATTAGTTTGGTTGGAACACATGATACAATGTCTAACCCTCCACAATCATCGTACGTAAGGTACACATCGCAGGCATAGGCAGTATTTAACCATCATATCGGCCGTTCAATGTGCAAATGTATATAGATAAGTGGTCAGCAAAGCGCATTCGATGAATCTCGGCAGTCAGTACGTATAGTATGTATATACACTGTAATTATATGTTAATAGAGTTCTGTGAACCAGTGTACATACACCACGTGTGACATATGGAAGGCAGTTTTCTGTCATCAACAGACAGTGCTCCACGCTTAGGGTCGTAAGTTCACCAGACGATATGTTTTAAACATGATGTCATCTATACTACATACCTGAAAATGTCTGAAAATCAATCCGATTTTAACCACATTGTCTGGCAGGTTGTCTTTCACTCGCAATTAACCAATCAAATCCGTCGAAATAAATGTGTGTTTTTTTCTAATAAAACTAATTGTAAATAGTTATTACTCACATGCCATCTGAATAATCATCGTGTTCGTAATATTTTACTCAATAATTTGTTCCTTTATATTGAAATAAGGTAAGAGAGTACCACAGTCACTTGGGGGCTGAAAATCAATAAATACTAATTTTCAAAAAAAATCATCCGCTATACGTATATAAATAAACAAGTTGTGAAACACGGCACCTAGTAAATCGACACCCTGTCGGTTTCAAATGTCGATTTCATACCTTAAAATACGAAACAAAAAGTGCAGAGAGGGGTCAGGTGTTATGTTAATAACCATTGTTCATAATCGCTAACTTGGTTTTATTCAAAACTGCACAAATCGCGCGTTTTCAAGGGATATCCGACGATTTCATGAACGAAAATGGCCACTGCCAGAATCAAGGGGGATTCGCACAGAGTTCTGGGTAAATCAAGTGCGCATACTCATTTTCAGCCAATCAGGCGTGCCATAACAGCGAGTATTTCCTTGATGGCCTTCACGTTGCCATTGTTTTACATTTCTATACCTATTGTTTACTGATTATCTCGAGTCGTCACCTGCCCTACGTCAGATGGACGTAGCGTGCCATTGTTTACAAACAAGCGTCTACCCATGAGCCTTTGCGTTTTTAGCGTGTGTTGTTATCGACGGTTGGGACTCAAATCCCGCGCGTGCGCAGGTGAAGACACTCCCGCTTTAAGTGCGCGCCTTTCAATTTAATTTACTTGTGAAACTTATTATTTGTAAACATTGTAATAGTCTGTACGTTGGCAAAATAAAAATGTCGCTTAGGTTAGGACATTCGTTCCCTGGATAATTAGAAAATCGCTTAATTGATCAATGATTGATAACACAAATTGTCTCGTTCACAGAAATCAACAACTTCAGTGAAACGACAAGGTAAGTCGTACTTGTTATTTTATGACGTCATCATCCGATATGGATTAATATCGGTGTTTAGAAAGTCGCACCCTCTAGCGCCAAAGCACTTCTGAAACATAAATGGTGTTACTGACGCCATCCACTCTATTAATATTGTTTGAACTGTGATTATTCGACAATATATATAGTGCCAGTGAACAGTTTGGTTTCCACTTTATTGATTATTCGCTGTAAGCTGTACTTTCGGGGCAGGGGCAACTAGCTTGACGTAATTAGGTGCGCGTATGTGTGCAGAGGCGAGACAATTTGCCGTGTGCGCGGGTTATAGTATATTTTGTCCAGTTAAATCTATAAAATGTACGCGCGCGACGTCTTGAAATGTAGATCGTCTGCACCACTGTACTACGTAAAAGATGAAAGTGGCGCGTGTGAAATTACATTTTATTTTTGACAAATTTATTGATACGATTACGTAAAATGTGGGTGTCCTCTGTATAGTGGGTTTGAGTATCTGTCAAAGCGCTGTCGCAGAAATGCTATTATCGTATAACTGGGGTGTTGACACATAGTATTTGTTTAAACTTCCAAGTATTTTGTTGTGATGAATAACGCCTGACTAAAATGCCCACTCAGCCATACTGCACATGGTCGGATGTTGAGTTAAGTAGCAGAAATCTTATCATTACGTAATTTCCGCATTGCATTGTGGGTTATAAATGTATGAGTAACGACGGATTTGGAGGGCGTATTCCTCGCGCTCCCTTCGAAATCCGTCACTTATGCAGCCTTAAGGCAACATAGCAGCGAGCGTCCAGGTGCGTGTCATTAAACAATAGATTTGTTTACACACTGTGTACGTCACATGAGGTCAATATCAAAGACGGCGCGTCGCGGAGGGCGCGGCCTGGGGTGGCGCGAAGATCGAGCGACTTTTAACGTTATCGTCTATTTCACAGAGAGCAGTGATAGTTGTGACCTCGTCAAAAACTCCATTGCACCGCAATGTGGACGTGAAGGTGACCCAGACTACTGTCCTTATATGTCAAGCAGATTTCAGAGAATGTGTGTGAATGGATACTGTGAATGTACATCTGAAGATTATGACAGATGCACGTGTTTACGTGAGCAATTGTTTCTTGTTACTTCATAGAAAAATTATATTCTCTCGTACGCATGTGCACTGGTTGTCTTGGTACATACAAAAGAAATTACTGCACATGCGCAATATTTTTTTTTTTCATTTAACAATTACTGTTATTCATCCTTCAAACACAACATTGTTAGTTTATAATATGAGGGTAGTACGAGCATAGCTCAAAATATCGAGTAGATACCTCAGAGTATCGACCGACGCGCAGCGACGGCGTACTGTCTGAGTGTATACTTTGAGGTATCCTCGTAATAACCTTATTATTATACATATTTTCTTTCGAAGGATACATCATAGAAATGCCGAAATCCAAAAAGTTTAGAACTAAGTTAGTGAACTTCTTTGTGTGGAGTCCAGTCAACCCTGGTGGCAGCCATGTTTGTTTCTATTGTTAGAGGATGCTTACGCGCGTAATCATTCCATATTTGGAATTTGCATTTCCTAATATGGTAGAATGAAAATACCTCGTAAAATATCGCAAATTTACGGCACGCTGTAACTTATGGCGTTACGGTGACAGGTGTATAATAATAATAATAAAGAATAATCCGAAATATATCTACTTGAATATTTACCTCGGACGTATTCAGTTATCTATTTATTTTTAGAAAATACTTAAATAACAAAATGACAGTCAAGTGAAAACTATTATCGCTAAATAAAAACAATGTCTACTATCAACTAGTGAAGCCTTTGCTTGTTCTTTTGTATATTTCTTCAAAAATGTTGGTGCCAGCAAATTCCTGTGATAGGCTTAGATTAGTTTCACTTTATGTTTATATTTACTATTCACCGCGAGATCTCGCGTATTGTGTGAAAAATCGAATAATTCAATTTTGAATATGATTTTTTTTATTTATACCTCGATGTGAAAATTTCGATCTTTAACAGGAAAATATTATGTTGAGATGTCCTTACTTCGTCAAAATTATTCATAAAATGTGTATAGTACATTATTTTATGTAGACCCCCCTAGTTTGTCGGATCCCACACTATGCTTTGACATCATCATCAATAATAATAATTGACCAATCAGTTATGGAATATTGTGGTTATGTGATAACAAATAAACACTTATTACCTAATAAATATTATGAGTAGTGCGATGCGTCAACATTTTTGACAAAAATATTAATAAAACTTCAATGGAATCTCCAATCAATATTATCATATATGGTCATTAAATTTACATACACTTGTTAATGCCGTTGCTGATTACTGTCAAATGAATATTCATCAATCTGTGATTAGGAATGAACATTTTAATATATCATTAAAATTACTTTACAGCACAAGTTGGCGGTTGTGATATGCAAATAAATTCTGGTCAGGAATTTGCTACACCAAAGTTTGAGGGACAAGATGTGACAGTTTTCAGTTGCCTGCCCGATTCAAGTCCAGACTACGAAGTTCATGTTGTAGCTAACTATGAAGGCGATGGACACACGGCAGCCGGGGTACACGACCTTGGATATACAACTCTGAACATAGACGGTGCTTCATCCAATAAACCCATAATCCTCATCTTATCCACGTACGAGCCTGTGCATTGGTCATTGGTTTTCAGTGACCCGGATGTTGTCATCGAAAAGATAGTATTGGTGAGATTACGACCTCTATCACTCTGATCTGATGATACAGAGTAAAAACGTCTGAATTAAGTCTGATAATGAAGACCGTACATCTAATTTAGGCCAGATAGCGAGAAAAGTGTATCTGAATTAGGCCAGGTAGCAAAGGAAATGTGACTTAATTAAGCCAGGTAGCGAAGAGAGTGTATCTGGATTAAGCTAGGTAGGGAAGAGAGTGTATCTGAATTGGGCCAGGTAGCGAAGAGAGTGTATCTGGATTAAGCTAGGTAGGGAAGAGAGTGTATCTGAATTGGGCCAGGTAGCCAAGAGAGTGTATCTGGATTAAGCTAGGTAGCGAGGAGAGTGTATCTGAATTAGACCAGATAGCGAGGGGATTATATCTGAATTAGGCAAGGTTGGTTGCATTTTAGTGGCAAATCGCCATTTCGATACTATTATATTACTTTTATAACAGGTTCCTATGGCAGAGATATTATGCAATATCTCAAACTATACCATGGTGACATAGGCTGAAAAAATCGTATAATGTTTATGACGGAGTACTTTTTGTTGTACTGAATTATTTAAAAAATCTAGATTTTAAAAAGTATCAAAAAATGCAATTTTTCTTTAACATTGTATTATATGGAATTGTTCAAAAATAGAAATTTTCAAGAAGTATTAGACCACGTTTCTCAAAAAGCTTAACTGTAACACACAAAATAATGCTATTTCATTGTTCTATGGTACATTAGCTTCATGATTGTACATAATAAACCAATGAACACTGGCATGCGATTTATGACCAAGTTGGTAAAAAATTATGACTAGGCTTCTACCTTAATTAGGAGTTCTCTCAGATAATTGATCACATGACTTATTGCTTAGCAATATTCATGTAGAAATGAAATTATATTTCATCAGTTCGCATACTACGTAGCAGAAAGTGGATTTACATTTGACGTGGGTCGAGTGCGTACCACTGAGAAGAGTCAAGATATTGCGTGTGGTTACGGTAGTGACACTGGTGGTTGCTACACTACGGACTTACTTAAGTATGCACGTGATAGATATGGAGGTGTGACGTCATTTAGTGGTACATATAAAGCAGACGAATGGTCATTGAGATTAAAGAGCAACTTGACAACAGGTAATAAGAATTCAACAAATTTCAGATGCAGATAGCCGACGAGATCTCTTTGAGATCGAGAAAGACATGCCTGTTTGCATTTGTTTAAATTTTATTTATTTATTTATTTATTTATTTATTTATTTATTTATTTATTTATTTATTTATTTATTTATTTATTTATTTATTTATTTATTTATTTATTTATTTATTTGTTTATTTATTTATTTATTTATTTATTTATTTATTTATTTATTTATTTATTTATTTATTTATTTATTTATTTATTTATTTATTTATTTATTTATTTATTTATTTATTTATTTATTCATTCATTCAAGACGCA